GCACCAGTCGTTGAGCGCCTCGATGACCTCCTGGGGCTTCATGAGCTCGCCTTGAGGGGTCGGACGGGACGTAGGTGAACGGGTAGTCGGCCTTCCACTGCTTGATCTTGGCGAACCACTCGTCGCGAGGCTGGGCCTCGGACGGGAGGAGCGGCAGGAGGGCGCGGACCGAGTCGAGGACGTCGCCCGTGATGGCGACGTTGGCGTTGACGACCTTGTTGATGTTCTTGGGCTGCACCTCGAAGTGGATGATGCCGCCGCGACCCTGGAGCGCCGCCGCCTTGGCCGCCGGGGCGAACATGTCGAGGCGGCCCGTGACGCGGTCGTCAAAGCGCGCGCCGAGCGCGATGATGACGTCGGCCGACTGCATGGCCAAGTTGGCGTACGCCGAGCCGTGCATGCCGAGCATGTGGAGCGAGTGCGTCTCGTCGAGCTCGTCGTACGCGCCGAGGCCCATGAGGGTCGTCGTGACGGGGATGTTGCCCTCCTTGGCGAGGCGCTTGAGGAGCTCGGGGCCCTCGGACGTCGACAGCATGCCCTGGCCGGCGTAGATGACGGGCCGCTTGGCGTTGGCAATCATGTGCGCCGCCTTGTTGAGGAGCGCGTCCGAGATCGGGGTCGCCTCGCCGCCGAGCGCCGAGGTGGCCGTGTGCGAGTGCGAGCGGCCGGGGATGGTGGCGTCGGCGAGCTCCGGGTGCGTGTAGCGGTGCGGGATGGCCTGGCGGAGGATGGCGGCCGTGACGTCCTTGGGCAGGTCGACGAGGACCGGGCCCGGGCGGCCGGTCGTGGCGATGCGGAACGCCTCGTTGATGCGGCGCGGGAGCTCGGCAATGTCCTTGACCATGACGTTCCACTTGGTGCACGAGCGCGAGATGCCGACGACGTCGGCCTCCTGGAACGCGTCCGAGCCAATGGCACTCGTCGCGACCTGGCCGCAGAAGACGACGAGCGGGGTGCCGTCCGACAGGGCGTCCTGGAGCGGCGTGATGACGTTGGTCGCGCCCGGGCCCGACGTGACGAGGACGACGCCCGGCTTGCCCGACACGCGGGCGTAGCCCTCGGCCATGTGGCCGGCGCCCTGCTCGTGGCGCGGGAGGACAAAGTCGAAGTGGGGCGAGTTGTAGATGGCGTCGAACACGGGGAGGATGGCGCCGCCCGGGTACCCAAACACCTTCTCGACCTTGTGGCGGAGCATCATCTCGTGGAAGATCTGGCCGCCGGACAGGCCGATGAACGACTCGTCGAGCTCGTCGGCGTTCTTGGGCCGCCTCGCGAGCGGCGACGCGCCCGACTGCGACGGCGGCACCTGGTTGAAGGTCGGAGCAGGCTTGGCGCGACTGCAGATGCGGCGACGGACAGTGTCAGTGTGTGCGCTGCTCGCGTGCGGGAGGTGCAGTGGTTCAAGTCCGGCCGACATCGCCGAGGCCGGCTCTCTCGCGTCCAGGCGCACTCGGCTAGGCGCAGAAAGATGCCAGGCATGCCATCGAGCCACTTCGGAGCGCCGACCACCTTGCCGAGCCAGCGCGAATGCGCGAACGGCCGTCGAAAAAGGACGGGGAGCGGACGAGGCGAGGGGAGGTGGGGGACTCGACGCGAGAGAGAGAGGGGACGCACGGCTGGACCTGGGCCTCGGTCTTGCCCGTGGCAGTCGCGAGGGCACGGCGCTGGGCGAGGTGGAGCGCGAGGGTGGCGGCCGGTGCGGGGGACGACGACGAGGACGAGGCGACGGGGCGCAGGGCGCGCGTCGAGCGGGCCAGCGAGCGGTGCATGGCGGGGGTCGAGGACTGGGTCTCTGGGGCGGGTAGAGAGAGTCGGGAGAGTCCTGGCTCGAGCTGAGAGAGACGAGCGAAGGCCAAGCGAGGTCCAGGCTTGCTTCCTCCACCCGCCGCGGCCAGAGTCAACTCGACGCCCGGCTCACCGCTCTCGAGGCCGCTCCCTGCTCGCTCTGCTTTGCTCGACACAGCCTCCCGAGCGACGCCGAGTACAAACTGGCCAAGCAGGGGGACAAAGTCGCGCTCGACTCGCTCTGCCGCGGCACACTCCGGCTTTCGTGCGCGTCGAGAGAGGCTGCGCCCACTCGTGATGCACCGCAGCGTCCGTCCTCGCCCACCCTCTAATCCTCGTCCGACAGGTCCGCCAACCGTAACCGGCCCGCCGCGTCCTCGACCTCGTCGTCGTCGCTGTCGACCCGACGCTCGTACTGGCTGATGTCGACCGCCTCGTCGCCCTCGTCGACGAACGCTGCGTCCGACTCGAGCGTCGCCGTGCCCTGCTCCCACAGCTGCCGACCTGCACGGCGCGACCGAGGCGGGTCAGTAGACGGCGCGCACTCGAGCCGGGCAAGGCCGAGAGGGAGACGAGGGGACGCACCGGACAGCTTGGCGGCCCAGCGCCGCGCTTCTTCCCGCTCTCGCGGCGGAAGCGCCTTGAGCCGCTCGTCCTCCTCGCGCTTCAGCTGCGCGGCGTACTCGGCCTCAAACTTGGCCGCCCACGCCGCGAACGACGCCTTGTTGACCTGCGTGCCGCGAGTCCTCGCCGCCAGGGCCTGTCGACAGTGTGCGACGAGCAGGGTCAGTGGGGGTGGGACGCGAGGGCGCGAGAGGCGTGGGCTAGGGCGCACCTCTTCCTCTCGCCGGTACCGCTCCTCGTCCTCCCTTGCTATCCGCTCCTTGCGCTGCGTCATCATGTCGGCGATGAGCTCCTTGAGGTGTTGAGCGAGCGTGAACACCATGGCCTGCGAGGTGGGAGAGCGCGCAGGGTCAGTGCCGGGTCGCAGGGGACTCGAGATGCAGAAGGGGAGCGGGCGCACCATGCCGAGCGACTCGTTGGCCGACTCGTTGAGCCCGGCGAGCAGCTTGTCCTTCTCCTCGTCCGTCACCTCGCCCTCGAGCACGTCAAGGTCGAGCTCGGGTGGCTCGTCCGGGTACGTCGGCGTGTAGTGGACGAGCAGGTTGAAGGTGTCTGCGCGAGTGAGCGAGGGTCAGCGATCTGGGGACAAGTGGGACCAAGTGACGGACGCACAGGGATCATGATCGTTCTGCACCTCGGGCTCGACCTTGATCGCGAGCTGATCGTCCGAGATGACTGCGGCGAGGGTGGAGTGAGAGGGGTGAGCAGGTGGGGAGGAGGACAAGGGCGAGTGACAGGAGAGAGTGGGGCGCACCTTCGAGCTCGTCTGGAAAGATGCTCTCGAGCACCTCGAGCTCTGACCTGCGCTCCTCGGCGTAGTCTGCGAGCGGGTGGGGGAGGTCGAGGTGAGCGATGAAGACGACGAGAGGCGGAGGGAAGCCGGGAATGGCTGCGGCGCACCGGTCATGGTCTGGACAGGTCCTGGAGAGACTGTAGAGCCTCACGAGTCGACGCAGGAGCAGCCGGGGCTTGGGGAGAGGCGGGCGTCGTTGAGCAACCTCGTCGTCCTCCTCGTCTTCCTTCTCTCGCTCGACGACACGACACCGCGCCTGCGGACCTCGCTCGCCGCACATCTGCTTGGCCTCTTTGTGCCTCAGGTCACCCTGCACGCCGAGCTCGCGCCCCTCGTGCCGCGCCTGCACACGCCCGCCTCCTCGAGCTGGCCTCGCTCCTTCTCCACGCCGCCTCTGCGCTCACGCCCGAGTAGATCCAGGCCACGAGGACTGCACACTGGCTTCGGCTTAGCCGACGTCGTGCTGCACCCGCGCTTCCCCCTCGCTCGCGGCGCACGGCGTCGCGCTCATCCCGCAAGGCCAGTCCGCGCTGCGTCGTTCCTCTCGACCCACGGGGGCTTTGGGCGAAACTGCGGCTTGGACTCGGTCCATGCAACGGTCACCGAGGCCAGAGTGACCGGCGCGCCTGGCTCGGACGCTCCACGCGGCCGTCGACACCGCTCGCGGCCTTGCTTTGCCCGCTCGCGCTCGCTCTGAGCGCGCGTGCCGGACCTTTGCGGTCGGCGGTCGCGTCGGTATGGCGGACACAAAGGCTTGGGCGCCGTGTGGGCCCTCTCGCATCGCAGGAGGAAGGCAAGACGAGCAGGAAAGCTCTTGACGGCGCGGCGCGAGAGTTTCCTCCCGTGGTCTTCTCGCTTTCGGCGCCTCGCGCTCGCCCGGCATGCAATGTATCGAGTTCTCGTGAGCTTGAGCGAGCCAGAAAGAGCGAACGAGGTGTGGACAAGGTTGGCGTCGAGCTGCCGGTCCGGTCTCGCCCTCGCGGCCTCGCCGTCCTCGAGCCCGGCCCCTCGTCCTCCCTCACCTCGACGCAGGATGAGCCCAGCACCACCCTAGGCCTCGCCGCACCCCCTCTCTGAGCGCACCCGCACCGTCCATCCAGTGCTCGCCCCTCGCCGATCTGCGAGCCACGCTCAACCTCGAATCGCGCCGACGGACAACCCTCGCCCGGCTGTCCCCTATCGCCCTCCGGCCGCCCTTTGAGCGCATCAGCACGCCCTGCCCAGGCACGGTAACCGTCTGCG